CAGGACTGGGAGCACCATGGGCTGTGCAGAGCATTTCCAAGAGATCTAAGTGCTGGGCAATGCTGGGGTGAGTTTCGTCAGCAATTGGAATTGCTTGTAGGGGAAATGAGCTGTCCCAGTGCCCCCACCCCTCCGGGCACCCCGGGCGCCCACCAGCACCAGGTGCTTCCTGTTTGGGCGCAGGCTCACATTTTTGCTGGATGAGACACTTCTGCCGGCAGATGCGGAGCATGTGACGTCGCGGGGGGACTCAGCTCGAACCCAGAGTCAGCAAAACGAGCTCAGCCGCCTGCCCGCCCGCCTGCGCCGGGGAGGGAGGTGCGTGCCCGCCGTGCTCCCCAGGCACTGGTCTTGTGAGCACCCGTGGTGGACCCAGATGGGGTGGCAGGGGCTTATCCACTATCCCAGCAATAAGTACAGAAAAATGAGGAGGTGGAGGTGTTGGAGAGCAAGCTGGGAGCTAATCCTTGCAGAGGGGAAGGCATGTGCCACCTGTGGGGTCTCCCTGCCGTGTGGCGGGAGATCAAACAGAAGGGGGCTTATCCCTCCATCAGCACTTCTGAGCTGGGAGCCAGTGGGGAACAAGCCCCATCCCGTGGTGGGAGCCACTCATTATAAGTGGTGGTGGGCATATGGGGTCTCCTTGCTGTGAGCCTGGAGCTGATTCTGAAAAGACTGAAGCCCCTTGTGAGAGGGGCAGCTGTGATGCAGAACAGGGAGGCGGCAGAGCAGCACTGAGGGTCCCCAGACTGTCCCAGCCTTGTCACCATCTCCGGCTTGGGGCTGGCTCTGCTGTTCCTCTCTGCTTTCACTTTGTTTAGCATGTTTTGGGGATAAATAGTTTCTTTGGTTAAAAAATAAATTTTCGGGAAATACAAGCTTGTGAAGAACAGGAGACTTAGAGTAAAACAAGTTGAGTTTTTCTGTCAGTATTTGCTGAATGAAACAATGCCTTTTTAATTTTTGTGCATCATTTCAAAGTTAGACTAATTGTACCAGCTAATATAAAGCCCAGTGCTGCACAGGGTCCAGCCCAGCTCACTGCGGGGTGGCAGGAGGCAGCTGGACAGCGTTGGCCACACGTGACTACTGGTGGCCTTGGGGTGAGAGCTGCCCCCGTGGGGTGGCTGCATCCACCCCCAGCTCTGCTGCTGCTGTTCTTGTTTTCGGAGCAGCTCATTTCAGCACACAGTATTTGCCTGGTATGTTATTTCAAGCCGATACTTCCAGGAGCCTCTGCTGTAGGTGCAACACCTCCACCTGGCTCAGCAAAGCCGATGTGGGATTGCGTCAGGCTGCTGTTGCCGAAGTTGCACCTGCTGGGGCCGCAGAGCTGTTTTGCTGCCTGAGCTCATTTATTTTTGCTCTCTCCTACTCCCCTGTGCTTTGCACACAAGGCTCCCTGGTTTCCCCGGAGCAGCTGGGAGCCTGTGGCTATTAAAAGTTGAGTGCTTTGCCCTTGTGATGGCTCCTTCCCCGGGGAGCGTGGGGGGCTGGCAGGGTGGTGCTGAGCCCCTTGCCCTTGCCTTCCTCCCTGGCTTGGACTCACCAGCATCCCCTGGCTGAGACACTGTGTCCTCTGGGCAGCCTGCAGCCAGGCTGTTTGGGGTGATGCTGCTTCGAGCTGACCAAGGATAGGAGTGGCAGTAGCAAAATGTGCTGCCGAGTAAGTTCTCAGCAGCACTGCAGAAGCATGTCATAATGTCAAAGGGGGAGAAGGCTTTTCTGTCCACTTGTGAAGGAAGGGAGATGGAGGCTGTAAGGGAAACTGGATGGCTGAGAGTGCAGCCTCACAATGCACAGCCTCGTGGGTGTTAACTCTGAAACCTACTGACTGCAGTGATAGCATTAAAGCTCATCTCGTTTCCAGTTGTTTCCCCAAATATGTGCTGCTGGCACAGTGCCAGGTTGCAGGTCCCATAGCTGAGTCTTCTCCCCACCTCCCACTTGGATCAACCTGGGCTGTGGAAAACACCGCACTGCCCTGCCCCAGATTCCACTGTGCTCTCCTTTCCTGTCTTCAAAGCTTTGGTCAGAGCAGCCATGAAATGCCATTTTGGGGTTGACTGTACGTACGGGTTGACTCAAGCATGGGCTCAGGGTTCTATTTTTGCAGTGGGCTGCCCAGGCTGCTAGCTAAGGGGGGATTGTGGGGATGCTGGGGAAGGCTGCACGGTGTTCCCCTCTCATCAAGACTGCCCCTTGTTCTCCTTGCAGGACTGCCCCCAGATCCTGCCATCCACCCAGATCTACATCCCCGTGGGTGTGGTGAAACCCATCACCCTGACAGCCAAGAACCTGCCCCAGCCGCAGTCCGGCCAGCGCAACTACGAGTGCATCTTCCACATCCCTGGCAGCACCACCCGCGTCACTGCCCTGCGCTTCAACAGCACCAGCATCCAGTGCCAGAACACCTCGGTGAGTGCGCGGCTCGCCTCAGTGCAGACTTTATTCTCGGACCGCTCATTCTTGCCCTCTCTTGGGACCTTCCCAAGTCATTGCATGGCTGGGTTTGCTTTCCCATGGGCAGATAACGGGGGGTTCTGCTATTTGTGGGATGTGAGGTGGGCTCTCCTCGCTTCCCTCAGGTGCACAACGAGGCTGCTGCTTAGGGTTGTTCTGGATAGGATCAATGCTAAAGCCTCTATGGGGGAATTGCCAGGCTTTAGGAGCACTTCCAAGGGAATTGGCTTTGGAAAGCTGAAGAAAGTTGCTTGGACTGGAGCCAGCTGGCCTGGACATGCCAGAGCCTTGCCTCTTCCTTCTCTCTGCCTGCTCTTGCTTCCCCCGACACCAACCTGTCCCATTTTACAGACGGGATCAAGCCAACAGCTCCATGTCCTGCTGCGCACATGCTTCCCTGCCTGCAGCCGTGCCTGCCAACCCCCTGAACACTTCCCCTCCTCCCCTTCAGCCCCTGCTGGTCCCCATCCCCAGCTCTGACTGGCAGCTACCTCTTCTGCCTGTCCTCCTTCCCACTGCCTGCCCCTCATCCCAGCCCTGCTGCTGCATCCCTCCCTGTCCTTGAACCCTGCAGCTCTGTCACTTAAGCTTTCTCCTGCAGGCAGCTCTGCCAGCTCTGGTTGCCTTTATCCCTAAGCGAGAGGTGTTCTGCAGCCCCTCAAAGAGCTGTGTGTGTGCCCCTTGCTGTGCAGCAATCCTGTGCAGGAGCACCAAGCTCACAAGCAGACCCACCCAGGGTGTTAATAGCCCTCCCTGGGAACTGGGATTGGTCAGCTCCTCGGCTGCCCCACTGGGCTCTGCACCGACCTACCCTCATCCACAGGGAGCCCTCCCCTCCCTTCTCCCTCTCGTTTAATCCTTTTAAAATTTGTTTTCCATCACTCACACTGTGAAAGCTCATTTGCAGCCTAACACCAGTGCCAATCCCTGCTCCCTTTGGTGGCACGAGTGACATTTAGAGGCCATTGAAGATGAGCCCTGGCTCATCCCTCCTCCTTGCGCTCAGGGCTGCAGAGCCTTTGGGCAAGAGGAGCATCCTGAGCTGCTGCCTCCTGCCCTGGGCAGCAGTGCCGGGGAGATGCTGTGCCGCCGGCGCTTTCTCAGCAACGCGCAGTTTGCAAGGAGCAGAAATGCTCCCTGTCCGGAGGAAATGTTGTCAGTGGGTCTGTGCTTGGCCTGGAGGGGCAAAGTGCAAGCTCCAGGGAGCAGCAGTGCCTGCAGGGGTCTGCTGCAAGAAGCCATTAGTGAGATGGCTTAAGCAAAGGTTTGTCTCCTTGCTGCTGTGTTCTGGGAAGAAGAGAAGCCAGTGGAGCTGGCTTGGCTGCTGATCCCTGGTGTTGATCGTGAGCCTCACCAGGACTTTATCCTGCGGATCTGCCCTGGACCCAGTCTTGCCTGTCGCCTGCAAGGCTCGATGTTAGTGCTTCGAGGGGGACATGATGGACACGTGTGCGAAGAGACATCACGGTGGTGCAGATCCCTTCTCTGTGGTCTCGTTGCTGCCGGTAGCCAAGCTTGGCTGCTCTGTCTCCATTGCAGAGAGGTTACTTGGGGGTCAGCTGAGCCACTCTTGTTCTGGCAAAAGGCTGGATATATCAGGTACCTGCTTGGTTGTCTGAGAGCTCTTATGCAATGTGTCCGAGCCCGGACCCACTGCTGGAGTGCCTGTGGATAGAAAAGGCCTGGAGAAACCTTTGCCCTCTGGCAGAGTATGGAAGAAATGTGGCTGCTCTGTTCCAAAGAGAGAGCCCAGCCTGCAGGGGTCCCGGCCGGGCACAGGGCTGCATCAGCAGCTGAGAATCGAAACTGCGTCTGCCCGGGGCATGGAAGTCTGTGGGAGAAGGAGATGTTGACTCGCAGATCTTCATCCCTCGTGGCGATTTAATGGTCCCCAGCTTTGTGGGGACATGTTGTGAGACACTGCCTGGCCAGAGCCCCTCAGCCACCCCAGCCTCCTGCTGGGTCTCCTCTGCAGCTGGCAGAGCTGGCAGCTCCCTCTTGACTGATTTTATAAGTGTGTGGTTTGACTTAGTTCGTTCCAAAGCAGTTTGGAATGGTGTGTGCTGCAGGATGCTCCCTATAGAGAAGCTCCGTGGCTGCTTGGTGCCGGCGGGCGCAGGCTGGTGGGTCCCCGGGGGGGT